TAACTGTAATATATTCTACAAATGTCAAATCTATTTGTAAAATTAGCATTTAACCTATATTTTGCAATCTTTCTATATAATAGAGGATCATCAAATATAGCTACTTACTTTTTATAAAGGTATTTATAGTACTTGTTTGGACATTGGAAATATTTTTAGTAAGAGGCATGGTAATTAAATCTAAAAATGAATATATAGTTGATTAATGATTTTTGAACTCGGCTAATTACAATAATAAATTTGTTAATTTTCAACTAATATATGATTATTATTTAATTAGGGTTAAAAAAAATCTAAATTATAAAAATCAATTAAGCTTCAACTGTTAATGCTAAATTAATATTTAGACATTATGAGTGATATTGACAATTTATTTTTAACATAGAATATGATTTTCAACCTGACATAGTGAAAATATAATTGGTATTAATCTAATCTAATAATTAAAAAAGCCCTCATTTTATAAAAAATTCACATAATCTTATTAATTTTTTAAATAAATCATATTTATTTATAATAATTAAAAGAATTATAAAAGAAATCGTTCAGGAAGTTAACAAAAAATTTATTTTGTTTCAGGAGGATATTAGGGAAGCATTAAAAATAAAAAGTTTTTTTCGCTCTAGGGGGCTATTCCTATTTTTCAGGCGCTCGAGCCCCAACGCCTGCTCCTCTAATGAAGCTACTAAAGGCTATAAATGATATAAAAAAATAAAAAAAACCAAAAAATTTAAGAAAAATGATATTTCAGATAATACACAAAACAAAAATAACAAATTATATTTTGAATGGGAATTTTCCTTTTTTAATTGACCCTTTTCCTTTTTTAATCTGACTTTTTCCTAAGTCTTTTGTACTTTTCCTTTCTTAATAGAACCTTTTACATTTAGGAAATGCTGCAAATTGCCTAACCGACGGGCAACAGAGAAATATAGGGAGTGTAAAGAGACTAGCAGGAATTCTAAGATAAATATTCTTATATAATGTGTTAAAATACATGGCGCATTTTGCAACATTTTTACAATTATTTCTCCATATTTAGCTTGATTTATGCGTATTGACAATTTTAAATGTTTATTGTACATCTAATTTTGTTTCTCTGATATCGCGACATTTTTCAAGTTAATTTTCGTGCCTTCATATATGGTAATGTTTTTTATAATTTTGGGTATTTCGCATTTATTTTGATGGTTCTTTCCATATTTTGTGTCATTATTACATATTTTATAATCTTGTTACTTAGATCTCATTTAACTTTCTTTCTTTCTTTCTTTCTTTCTTAAGAGAAGAGAAGAGAAGAGAAGAGAAGAGAAGAGAAGAAAGAAAGAAAGAAAGAAAGAAGCAATTTATGCTTAAAAAAGAAATTATTTATTATTTTATGATTGACTTCATCATCTTGATCATTAATAAAGATTGCCTTCTTCTAAACTCGATTTTTCCGGTTTTTAAAACCCGGCATCTTATACTTATTTAACTTTTCATCAGTTTTTAATATTCCAAATTTTATGAACCCTGTAAATACAATTTGTTAAATCTATATGAGTTTTAAGAAAAATTATATTGTAAAAAAAATAGTATATTACACAAAAAAACTTGTTTTTATTTGAAAAATACTCTTTCTCATAATAACAAAAATTTATGTTATAAAAATGTTGCAATTTGAGAAACCTGTGATTATGACCATTTGGGCAGGTTAACACAACCTCCTTAATATGACCATACATATGGCTTTCTAGAATCTCGAAAACACAATTCATCTCAAAACGGCATCTCTCGCAATAAGCTGAAACTACAAATCAACCATCTTAAGGTAGTGTACAATTGTTGGGGGTTCTCGTTGTATTATTTATTTTTATAAATAAGGGGAAATTTCTTTTTCCCATAAATTTATATTACTTAATATTTTCTTTAAAAAAAAACTATACAAAAAAAACAAACAAAATACATTTATTAGATACATGAAAAACATGGAAGTAAAAGGGGGAAGGGTAGGAATAAATGGTAACTCACTTTTTAATATTATTTTATGTATTTATGATAAAATAACAAATATGCTATCGTGTGGCTATTGGTGATAATTTTTTGGTGTAATAATAATTCAAAATTATCATTACGCAAACTTTATTAATTCCATAACTTTTCTGTAAATTTTCACAGTTATTTAATTTCACAATTAAAAATGACTTAGATCTATAATTATTTAACAGAAAACTACTAAATAATATTAATGACACCAATTTTCTTTTATGGGCATTTTCTAATTTTGCACTTACTGTATTTTCCTTTAATATTTTTTTTATTGTAACGCCTCTAAAATTAATAAAGAGATATTTATTAAGCAACTAGAATATATTTTAAAAGATTATCCTCACTCAAAGCATCCGGTTTGATAATATTTAGCACTCTGAAGACCGATATATAGGTCCCTTAGTGAGTTAAAAATCTAAAAATTTATATCTTTTATAGTTTACAGTTACCTATCAATCAATATACAAAAATTTAAAAATCTGATAGGGGGGGTAGGGACGAAAATCATAATTTTATTTTGTTGAATTGTATATTTGATATGTATATAGGTTTTCTTTAATCAATATTATTATAGCAAATGTTATAGGTGTTATCTTAGGTATTGGACCTTTTATAGATAATTCATAATTATAAATTTTCCTATATTTCTTCTAGGTTCCTTAAATATGAGCTATTATATCGAAAGTACATTTTAAACAATTTTCTATAGATTTATTATAATATTTCATTATATCAGGTTTAGATTTGTGGATCGGAATAAGTAAATTATATGAAAATAGTGATCTAATATTTAATACTTTTAAGAAACAAATGAAATTCCTACGCTCAATTTAGGTATAAAAAATTTAAATAATTATATTGTTATAGAATAATTAAAATATAGAACAAGCAATGGATCCTATAATTAGTAAAATATTGTTATTTCAAGAAAGTTTGTAAGGAAGGAAGGAAGGAAGGAAGGAAGATCAGTTAAGAAGAATACAGGCAGATAATAATCTAATCAATTGAACTATTTTATTCATATCAAATTCGGAAAAAATTCCAAATATACTGGTTAAAATTGAGGCCTTCCATCAAAATAATAATCAGGCCTATGAGCGTTATTTGAAAAATAGTTTTGCAACTATTTAGACACCTACAAATTTTATTTTAATTAGTTTTTAATGTGTGTCATTATATAATAGTATATTCAATAATAATAATATGTTGTATTTTTATTATTATAGTATCTAATAGAACAGTCACTTTAGGGAATAGAGGTAGATTAACTTTAAATTATTACCCACATAAATTTAAAAAAAAAATTCATATATAAATTGAAATGGAATCAAAATTAATGTTTAATTCACCATATGGCTAACTCTTTACCGAGTTCTTCACTTTGACTTAAGTTAAACCTCAACTTGAAGTTAGAGGCAAATATCTTAGATAAATCATAGCTAAGCTATTTTCCAGTTATCCAAAGTTTGGTGACACTATTTAAAATTTGCGATCTTGTGGATGGTATTGGTTCCCCTCCTAAAAAACATTTACAAAGTCAAATATAATTTCTAAATAGTGACTAGCAGAAATTTGAGTTTTTTGACGGCTTTACCTTACCAATATTATATTGTTCGGGCTAAGAATATATTTAATATATACTTTTGCAAATCCTCTTATACAAGAATAATTTTAAAAAAATATTCTTCTTTGGTAGTTTATTATTTTCAATTTCTTCAAGATTTAGTCTTAAAATATTTATCAGTATTTTCAAGTTATATGTAATTTAATTAAAGGATCAATAGTTGTTCACTAAAGTATTTTCAATAAATATTTTAGCCTTACCATGTCCAAAGATGTTTAAAATTTAAAATATGAATTTATGCAAAAAATTTGTCAATTGTTTGCTATTTAGCGAATTTCGAGTTTGGAGTATTAAAAGCTTAGACTTAAAAATTTTCAGATTAATATCAATAAACGTATTATATATATAATAGCAAAGCGAATGATTGGTTAATTTATTATTGAAATATCATATAGTATTTATTTATTATTAATCTAAATTTTTTATTTATTATTATGATAAAGTTCTGAGAAGAATATAATTAAGTACATTTTTCTAATAAAAATTTTGCATAATATATAAATGATTTAATATGCTTGGAAAGCATTTTAATTAAGGAAAAATTTGGATAAAAATTATGTCGATCAAATACAAATTTTATTCATGGATTCAAAAAAACGTTTTTTTTAGTAAATTATCATTCAAAATCGAAATGGAATATACAAAAATCCAGAAAAATAAAAAATAATAGTTTATTTATTTAGAATAGGAAAACTTTATCCGATTCCCAATTAGTTTGTCAATTAATTTTAGTTGAACGCAAATTAACTAATGATTTATATAAGCTAATCGATATACGTATACTATAATAATAAAAATGTGTTAACACCATTATATAGAACCTGTAAACGGCAACATAACCATATTTGTAGGAGGTAATTAGATTTATCATCATTCTCTTATATATATATATATATCATTATTTATTGATACTTTTGTATGTTGCTAATACTTTAACTATTTTAGCACGTGTATTAACAATTTATACATTTGTAGTCCAACTCACAAAGTGAGTGTTAGGGACGTCTTGAGAACCCTTTATAGGGCTTAAAAGTTTAATACAGACCTGAGGGCGTGGACCAAAAATACCACGCGAAACGATCGAATATTCCATGATTTTAAAAATCAGAAATGAACAATAAAAAATTAAAAAATAATAATAAAAAATCCTGACTGGGCCGGTTTTGAAAATTCGAAATTATTATAAATCCCAATAGAGTTGCTATTAACTTGAACTCTGTAGATCATATTGATTAAAGGTGTGCATTCTAAGCTATTAAATTTACTCACAAAAAAATAAATATTTTAAAATAATAAGTAAATGAAAAAAATTTCGGGAAAATAACAGCCTTTCAATCATTTGTTAGTAGGTAAATACAAGACCCTTCTACCCACCCATCCTACTCCCTCTACCTCCCCTCAATTAAGTAAATATTTATCAAGTCCTGAAACAAACGACTCCCAATATAAATAGTGAATATAAATGAAACTAAAAAAAATAAGATATTTGCTTTTTTTTTATTTTAGGAAGTGCTGCCATATTCAATGAATCAGGTATAATATAATTTATAGAACCTTAATCAATTTCATAATATTTTTTAAGTTTCAGGAAATGTTACAATTATATCTAATAGAAGTACAAAAAATCGTTTTTTAATTGGAAATTTTACGATAAATTTTTTTTTAAATTAACAGTTATGCCTTACATTCTTCAACATAATGGTATATCACCAATTTATATAATTTAATTTTTGTTTTGCAACTAAAAAAAAATTTCAATGATTTGAATTGATATGGATAAGGAGAATGAAATATAACTATAAAAATGTATTAAAAATTGTTGAGAACTTTGAATAGATGAAACGAAATAGATTTTTCCAATGAGATTTATTTATTAAGGGAATATATTAATAAGTGGTATATAGGTAGGCTTCAAAATAATAAGGGTCAATTCCTACTCATTACCTCTTACCCATTACTCTATAAAGATCATAAAAGTTTACATACGTAATATCATTACAATTTGATGTTGGGAATTGACAAATTTAACATAGTTTCGTTTATTTCTGCCATAAATCTTATACTGTGGTATTCTTGCTCAATGGGGTGAGAAACACACATTATAATGATTTCTTTTTATTTAAAATTATCATCATACAATTATATAAAATGAAAAAGTGATATCATTAAAATTTTTTAAACATTTTATTTAATGTATTTGGTCATTATAATATTTGAACAGTGTTAATTTTTTATCCTCAATCATCATATAGAAAGAAGTTAAATCGTCTACCATTATCATTTATGAGAGAAAGATTTAGGCGTGGTTTTATATATTGAAAGTTAAACATGTATTAGAAGAAGAAAATAATCACTTCAAAGATTGTTCCAACTACATTATTTTTTGATTTGTTATATTAAATATAATCCTATTATTTGTAGTATAAGATATTTTTTAGATTAGCTTACATTAGAAATATATTGAATTCTTTAGGGCTGCATATCTTTATAATATTTTTGATATTATTTGTTAAAATTTCATCTATGATATAAATTGTTCAAAATATCATTATGAATTTAAGAGGAAGTTTATTATTCATGATATCCTCTTTACTTACCATCTATAGCCATCGTTTACTTGATTTAATATTATTACCAATGCTCTCCCCAATTTTTATTCCACTGGAAGAACTACCATCTCTCTAGATTTAATCGAATGGCTATTTGAAAATAAATGAATTTAAAATATTCTTTACATACCATTTGTAGCCATCATTGATTTCATTCAATATTATTTGCTCTCACAAATTCTTATTCCACTGGAAGAGCTACCATCTCTCTAGATTTAATCCAATGGCTAATAAAATCCTTCATCCGGCATAATTTCTATAAAGACAAGGGTGAGGAACAAGGGGATTGAATCAAATTTGGATTAATTATTAATAGAATTTTGTAAAATAATAATATAAGATTTAAAGAAATATTTGTGCGATTTTGTAAAAAATAAAAGATCCATCTGGTGATGTAAAATCAAAATAAAATTTAAAAAATGAAAAATATTTGATGCTTGTGTCCGTGGTCAAAATTATGATTATTAAGAAAAATAATAAAATTTTTTTCCAACTTCCAACGTTGCAATAATTGTAAGGAAAATATTAAAAATGTAAGTATTTTTTAAAATTTAAAAATAAGCAATTTTTTTAAAATTTTTATATCTTAATAAAATTTACCAACAGTTTGAGTTTTATTTCTAATTTCCTAGAAATAACTTGTATAAATTTACACTAAGAAACTAATATATATATATTATAATTTATACTTTGGTAAGAATTAAGCATTATACAAGAGAACATTATTATACATCCGATAATTTCTATTAATTAAATAATTTTCCTTTACTATATACTAATATTTACATTCTCTCATCAAAACAAATATCACTATACATAATATTAACTGTATTTAATAAAGGCACCAGAATAAACTTGTAATGGATCAATATTGGAGAAATCATGATTATTAATCTTATAACTTTATATTTATCTTGGGGATTGTATTAATCATATGCCAATATATATATATAAAAAAGAATTTTTTATTTTATCATTAAAATTTTTTGCTTACAAGTTATCAATATATTTCAACAAACAAAAATATTGCAATCTTTATTTTAGTTTCTTGAGGAAATCATAATGATAGGTTTTCTGAATATTCAATTACATTTTACTTTATTTTTATATTATTATTATTAACCTAGTATTTCTTTACAATTAAAACAAACAATTTTTTTAAAAATATTTTATAATACGAATGGCCAGAAAATGTCAATTAATTTTTTTTAAAGCCTCTTTCATCATATTAGGGATACAAATTTTGACAATCATGAATTATTTAAACAAAAAAATGAATATAGGATTTTACTTCTTTATATAAAAATTATTCTAATATAAGGGTATTATCATAAAGTACGATTGCCTGTAAACGGTTCACGATTAATTCTAGTCACTTTTCCGACTTTTTTTTATAGTACCAAAATATTTTAAAATTTATCCTAGCTTCTGTTGCTTGTTTCTAACGATCTCTTGTAAAAGAATAGCTCATTAATTCTGTAAATAATCGACGATTACAGGTAAAGGATTAACAATTAGTTCTGGTCTCTTTTTTAACTTTTGCTTCATCAAGTATCGGCATGAAATTCTTCACAATTTATTTTTCTGCTACTAGTTTCTAACAATCTGGTGTAAATGATTAGATCTCTGTAAACCATTGATCATAACTATGATTAACGATTGCTTTTATACGATTATCGTTATAGTTCTCTTTTCAAGCTTTTCTATTTTTTAGTACCAGTATATTTTTCCTCACAATTTATCCTAGTATGATGCTTTTTTTATAAAGATCTCACGTGTGTAAATTAAGTTTTGATATTAGAAATCGGAGTTTTAGGTAATCAAGGGAAGAATTCTCCCAGCGTAAATGAAAGCTTAAATATTTCAGAAGGGAATTGTTGCAGATATGAGGGCACCACTAGGAATGAAAGAATAATGCGTAAACGTGGCAGTGTCTAAGTAGTGGTGTGGAAGTTCTTAAACTAATGCAATTATGTGAATGTCAGTGCAGGGTAACAGATATGTTTTGATATTGCCCTTAAAGCGGTCGAGGGATTGGAGATAAGGAGTCTGCTTATATTTAATAAATAATGGGATATGGGATAGTTGAGGGTAAGAGAAAAGTAGATAATATAATACATTATCTCGAATAAAGACCAATGAGATCAGATTTTGCCTTATTTAGATGGGTAGAAAGAATTATGAAAGGAAGGGCAAAGACTATGAATGATTTTTGTTATTTTTTTTTAAAACACAAACAAATACAAATAAAGCTCAAATTAATGCATCACCGTCGGTAACATTAAAAAGGGTATGAATAAGATTTAAAAAAAAATTTTTTCATTTCGGATCTTTTTCAATTGAAGATAAAAATCATAGAATTATCTTCTGAAGCATATGTGAGATTATTAGTGTAGAATTTTTCCTTTATTTTCCAATGCAAACCAATGTATAGCAGATCACTATGCAATAGTAAACATAGACAATTTAATCAAACGTAATTATCGCATTTGTCTAATTTTATAGATCACTCATTTCGTGCATCTCTATTTAAATAATGCGCTAGTAACTAGTAATATGTATGTGCCTCCACTTACGTTATATGTAAAAAAACAACCTCTTATAGTTATTGAGGGAAATGAATGAGTGAAGATATTTATTTTCCCCTATTCAAATTCGATCAATATCGATAGGAATTAGATTACTATGTAACCTTTTTATCTTATCCAAGGCCCTCATATATATTTAACCTGGGTTTTAAACAGTAATAGCTCAAAAACGGTGGGTACAACAGTTTTATGATATAGAACATGGAGGATCCAAAGGTGGTAAAAACTTAAGTGGGAGTTTATAAATGAGGCATCTACATAGCAGTAACTCCTTTCATCCATCAATATAAGATTTTGCGATGTGGATTTAGGTTCCGATTAAAAATGATTGCTTTCATATTGAAGGAATGGCAAACCAGAACATCTTATTCTATAGCTATCGGTTTGATCCAGATCATAACTGTTCGAGGAGAGGTAATGGGAACCGATAAGCGATTTAGCAGGCTGAATCCTTTTATCGATGCAATATGTAGAGGTGCAGCATGAAGGAATGAGGACTTTTTTAATTTAAACTGTAAAGTTTCCGTAAGGTTAACTTCAGAAGATATCATCAGATATGGATATTTCAAAATTAGATTTACCTGGCATATTTGACAAAATATGGTTTATTAAAAAAAAATTTTATAATAATTTTTCACTAAAAATAAATAATCGTATACTTTTGGCAAAATATTAAATATAATTACATAAAAAAATATTTATAGAAATTTTAGGAGTTACCAAATAATTAAATTAGAGCGATGCGAAAGAGTAAAAAAAATTAATTTTATTTTCAAGAATATTCATCTTCCCCGCCTTTTTGGGAGGGATTTTTCATATATTAAAATAATTAGAAAGATAAATTTTGATTAATAAATATTTAAATATGCAATATTTAAGTTTTTTAAAAAAAATTAACATTTAATTAATATAAATAGAAACAAATATAAAATTTATAAAAAAATGAAAATAAGTAAGAAATATAGGTTACTTCATATTCACATGAAAAATTCACTGAAGATTAGTTAAGTCATTGTGCAGATAAATGCTTCTTTTTTTAAATAATTAAAATTTATAATAAAAACTGTATAATCGTTTATTTAATCCTTATAAAGATGATTATTTGATTTTTTATATTAGGTTTTATCCAAAAAAAAATAAATCAAAAAGTATTGCGAATATAAGATATATGAAGATGGTAATGATGTGTTTTGAGATAAAATATAAAATGAATTAGTGTGTTTTTATATCACATAACTTTAGCAAATTCCGGTAAAAAAAAATTTGAAAATGAGGTTTAAAATGCAAAATTTTCTAAGTGATTTCACGAGCATATTATGAAATTATTTAGTTAAAAACTAGTTTGCATATTTTCTTTATATATATATATATATATATCAATATTTATCAATCATTTTTGAATTTTCAAATAATTAAATAATTAAAATTTTAATAGGTAACCAGCTGCATATATGCACCTTTAACCATCTAGTAGTATAAATTATTTTATAAAATACAAGCGAATCAAATTTAACATAATGAATTATAATTTTTTTTATATTATACTTAGTACCAGTACCGCCACTAATGTGAGGGGAGTGGCTCGAGCCCCCTGAAAATTTAAATAAAAAAATTTTTATACCCAAAAAAGGTCTATTGAAATTAATAATAAAAAATTTTGAGTAACATGAGATTTTAATCCTTTTATAATTTTTTTATCTCTATCAAATTATAAGAAATTATTCGCAAATATTCGGTTCACAAATATTTAAAATTATTCATTAAAAAATTTTAAATTATTTGCAACCTATTCCCTGCTGAACATTTTATTTTTATTTTTTAAAGTTATTTTTTCTTATTGCATCTGTTTTGTTTCAATTAAAATCGAAATTATCAAAATTATCGATGAACAATTAAATATTAAGATTCTTATACGAAAAAATAATTTGTTCTAAATATTTAAATTTTTAGTAAAATTATTAAATGAATCGTTTTGTTACAATTGAACAAGCGTTTGCTCAACATTTTGAAGAGGAACCAATTGAAGAAAGAGTTATAATTATAATTCCCCCACCTCTCTGCAATTAGTGATAAAGAATATTTCGACGAAAGTGACTTACTAAATTATGGAGTTATAGTGCGCACAAATTGAGCGTTGCAACGCTCCGTTTTAAAAGCTAATAGTGCATTTTAGATGGTATTGTGCAAATTGGATTTTTTTTACGGCAAGCGAAAAGGCCAAACTGGTTTGATTTTTTTATGCTTTTTTAATTTTGCGCTAAAATTTGAAAATGGATACAAAATTTTAAGTAAAATTTATCTCATATAATTGGTATATTATATCATTTAGAAATTAATTGATATTTATATAATTTTAGAATATATTAATTTGATATTATTAACATTTTAGAATAAGTTTTAGATGGTTTATCAACCATTAGTTTAAGGTAAATATATATATGAACAGTGATAAATTATATTTTTATTAGCATGGAGATGGAGTTTCCACAGCATGATACAACTGTATCATATGAATATATCAAATTCACGGAGCCAATGATAAAGGACAGAAAAACTACTGACAATTTTAGTCCTAAAGAAACTACACCAAAGACTATCATGCACTCTGAAAGACTTTTGGCTCTTTTGGAAAGGGTGTCATCTGAAAGCCAGTAAAATATATTTTTTTTATCTATAAATTTAATATTATTTTAGATTGTATCTACAATCAATGCCTGATGGCTTGGAAAGTATGAGCCATTCTAATAAATACTTTTAAAAATGTGAAGTATCAAAATTGTATCATAATTTCATGGAGCAATTAACGGATAAAAATAATACTGTTGAATCACCAACAAATTCAACAGAAACAACTTTAAATCAAACATCACTAGATTTATTAAATAAATTTTATCTTAGTGTGTTTATTTTTGTAAATATGTTTATTTATATATATAATAAAGTAAAATTCAATATTATAGTGTCCATTTTTGATAAATATATATAGATAAGCAAACTTAGAATATTATAAATATATTAAAGTAGTATAAACAAATAAATATAATAATCAAATTATGAAAGAATGAGATTGAGTAAAAAGTTATGAAAATCCAATAAATAAAAATATTCATGGGTAACATGATTGGGAGAAGTGTACAATTAAGATTTAATAGTGTATATATATTATAAATTTTAACACATGATTAATTATTGAGATCAAAATTTGAAGCATTTCTAGGATTTTAATTCAGACATATAATAAATATTATCTTTAGAAATTAAATATTATGTATGT